TTCAAAAATAAAGTTGCAATTAAGTATTTAATACACTGGTGCAAAGCTGCTGCAGCATAGTACGAGACAAGATGGTGTCATGTTTTGCAACCACATTTGAAATAAGCCAAACTGGAGTTCCATGGATAACTTTAATTGGGTATTTTTTTTTAATTTTGAGTGCTTAGTTTTGTAGCCCTAAGACCATTCTTGTGCCATAATATTTTCCATGTGTCAAATGTTTACTACAGAAAAGAATAACTCGAGCTAGTGAAGAAATGACTTGCCTTCCTCTACAAGTTAATTCCATGGAAAATAAATCAGCAAGGCAATTTCCACATTTTAGCTGTGCTTTTGTCATTATGCTGTAGACCAAGGTATTTCTTTGGTAGTGAAAAATTTTTTTACTTATTGACTTGATTTACTAATTAAATCTGCTTGTCTCAGCTATGTCAGGTGGACAGCATGAAGCACACTGATTAACTGTCAGGGCACCTTCTATATGTCTGTAGGAATTTTATTAATATCTAAAAAACCAAATCAGTTATTAGAAAATATCCATCAGATTTTATGTCAAAATCCTAGAGAAACTAATTTTGGTGGTGTTGCAGATTCCTAGGGAGCTAAATACTCTGTTTAAAATATCATACTTAAAAGAGATTCGGTAAAGACCTATCTGAAATAACGATGATATTTTGTTTTCTACGAGAATGTTTGGAAGAAATTATTCTTTTTACTGTATTTGCACAAAAACCTCAGGAGAAACGGAGCACGTTTGGCAAGTTCCAAACTGCAGCAAGCTTACAACTAACGTTTCCTGATCTTCTATTTTCACATACATGAGAGTTAGCGTGGGGGGGCTAAATCTCTTCGGAGGGTGGGTTAGGAAAAGCAGGTAAGCTGAGTGACAACACTGCTGCTAGAAAACCTAATGCCCAAAATGGTCACAATCAAATATTTATAGCTTTATGGGCAACAAGTACTCTGTGAGACAAGACTACAAAGCAGTCAAACATCCAGATATTTTTTTTGCTGTCAATCTATCAATTTTTTTCAACATATTCTTTCTCAGAACACTTACTATGCTGTGAGCAGTGTTATTGCCAACCCCACTGCAAACTAGTAAAATGAGGAATGCTATTTAGTGACTTTTATAGATTTCTCACTTGGTCCAGTTGCTTCCTATTCAAATATTTGTGTTGATTTTTAATGCTGCAATTGGAATGGCAAGTAGGACTTCTGCCCAAGAAATCTGTTTTTCTAATACCTCATATTTAGAGATCTAGAAATAATAAAAATATTACTCATAAAACATTTTAATTCATTTTTACGTGATTAGCCCAGTGTTCATACTGTACTTAAGCCACTAGTTATCTTAGGAGAAGTTTTTGCCCAGAAGAGGCTGTACTATGAATAATTCTTTCATTATTTCCACAGATGCTGCCTTCTGAGGCAACTGAAACAAAAATGGCTCCTCAAAGGAGATCTGTACAAGATTTCCCAGTTAATGAAACTTCTGTGAAAGATCAGAACAAGAATTCACTGCATACGAGGCTGCAGTAGTCACTGCCAGCTAGAGCCAGTTTGGGCCAATACCTACAGGGATGCTGGAAAGGCCACTTGCAGCCTCTACTAGGGTCTCTGGTGACAATTCTGGGAGACCATCACTATACAGTGCTGGTGTCACTCAGCATCTCAAGACTCCAGAGGGATCTGGGAGAAATTTAACCCCTTGCTGCAATACACTCTTTTCTTGGTACCAAATATATGTATTTTTTTTCTCCTGGAGTTTAACAGCTTGATGGTCAAAAGGGCTGTTGCTGAGCTCTGTAAGCATGGTCTTGCCTCTTCATCATCTAATCCATTACTTCAAAATCTTTTCTCTGGATTTTAAAAAACACACCTTTAATACTTTGGAACTGCAATGCTGTTATGTATAAATCCCCCACCCCCCAACTCTGTATGCTTGCCTTACTGATTTTAAACATCCACCTGCTCTGTTTCTCTATTTGCAAGCATACCATTTGCTTTCCTAAACGTCGGTCAGGAGAATCATGGCATCAGCCTTCAGCACCTATCTTCTTCACTCGGCAGTGAGATGTCTGTGGGCAGAAGACAAGCCGTGGTGCTGCCACAGTGCTTTCTGTCAGATTTCACTTCATCATAAAATTTTAAAACCAAACAAAAAGATTCAACCAAAAACCCCCTCAAACAAACCCCGATTAGGTTCCAGTAAGATGAGTGTTGCAGGTAGTTTCACAATAGGGGAAAGGGAAGCTGTATTAATTGTTATTTCTAAACCCCAAGACTCTACTTTTAGTTTTGGATGGTGTCACATGGGAACAAGGATCTGCATTCATATCACACACATACTGCAACACGAGTACCAGATACGGCCTCATCCCCCTCCTCACTCATGCTGCAGGGTGCAGAGGCTGGCAGCTGCAGCACTGTACCCTGCCCACAGATCTGACCCACACAAGCATTTAATGCATCAATAAGGTGTAGGGTAATTTCTTGATCAGTTTTTGATAGCATCTGTGTTTCTGAAGCTGCACAAGTGTGACAAATATTAGGGATAAGAGTTTTCTACCACATCAGTACCCCCCGCCCCCCATCCCAGCAAACAAAACAAATGCCCCATACCTGGAGATATTTCAGTGCCTGAATTATTAATAAAATAAGCATGATAATGAGTAATCTATGTTAAGCATTTTCTTACCCTTTATTTTTTCATTATGACCAGAAGAGGAATATGATTAACAGCAGTTTAAACTTTAGCAGTACAATTTCAGTATTAAATATAAAACTACACTGCAAGTTGATGTATTTTAAAAATGGTTATGTATACTCTAGCCTTAAATTTATGTATCAAATACAAGTAACTCAATTGTTTCTTGCCTTGACAATTAACATATCTAACAAATTTCAACAAGCCAGACATCCATCTTTTCCATTAAAAAAAAAAAAAATAAGCAAGCACACCAACTCATATTCATAGCAGGGGGGTGTAAAGATTCAACACTTTCCTGAGTGTTGTGCAAAGAACAACAGGTTTGAGAAAGTCGGTTAAATAAGTGTAATGATAAATCTAAAGCTAAGCTGGAGGACCTTTTGATTAACGTCATATTTCATATATTACTTGCATCAGTTGAGAGCAACATGAGTTACAGAACTTCTATGAAAACAAGCCACTTACAAGCAGGTGGTTAAGCTTGATCAGTTTATTAAAAGGATTATATGACACGGTTGCCTGCAATAGCAGGGGACTGGATCTGATGACCCAGGAAGTTCTTTCCAGTCCCCTGTTTCTAAGCCATGCACCAAGTGTATCCAGCCCACACTTTCACATTTGGAAAAAGCCAAAGCCACACACACACACTCACCAAAAAAAAAAAAAAAAAAAAGTCCTTGATGACACCGTTTCTCTAGATATTCACTATGCAGAAGGGAACAGAGCTAAAGTCCTGTACAGAGGATACATTTACTCGAGGTTGATGTGGTACTGAAGTCAGTTAATAATTAGATACCTCCAGGCAGATTCAGTTACAGGGCATACCAACACTGCACACTGCCAGACAATTTCTAATTAAGCCAAGAACCTCTTGCAGGAATGAGGTCTCTTTGCTAGCAAGCACAGAGCACACTGAATAAGCTAAAAGCAGCTGTTCTTAAATGAACTACCCTACCAACCGTGAGTGAATGACAGATAGATGGTAAGAAGCATTTACCTACTAAACAAGATCTCTCTGCACACTCAGGCAGAAGTGATTAATTCAGAGCAGCAACCATTGCTCCTACCTTGCCTGTCTCTTCAGTACGTTCTCTTTAAAAGCTGGTCTACAGAATCTGTGCAGCCATTCTCAAGCACTACCAAGGTAGCAGTTTGCAGCTGCCATGCAAGACTCTACTTTAAAAAGGTAGTCACATTCCCATCATCATGGCCAGTTTGCTAGGACAGCATACACAGTCATAGCATAAAAGCCTTTGCAACAACTAGAGATCTAAACAATTGCCTACATTCAGCCCATCTAACTGTTAGGCACTTGGTTAAGGTGTCTGGGTCCCTAGCCACCCAGAACTCCCCCCTTTCCCCAGGAAAAAAGTGAAATTAAAAAAAAAAAAAAAACAAAAAAAAACAAACAAACAAACCACTGAAGGCAGTCTCAGTTGCCTTCTGGAGGTGTCTTTTGACCCCCACTGAGCAAAGCTGCGTTTCAAGCAACCAAGTTATTAACACATGCACCTCAGTTAGACAGGATGAATGGAGACCTGCATCTCTTTCAATAGATGGTATCAATACTCTCCAAAACCAAAGGCAATTAAGCAATTAAGGTTTGCAACTCCAGTTACGTTTGGAAACAAACTTACAGTCAAGTAATTACGCTGTAACCCCTCCCTCCTAAGCATAAAAGCCTTCCACATGGAGGGTCTGCTATTTAAAAAAAAAAAAAAAGCATTCTTCTTTCATACAAAGAAGAGGGGACATGGCTGCTTTGCCACTCATTCATGGGAAAGCTGAAGGATAAGAGAACACTTATTCAGAGACCTGGAATGACCAAGCACTGCTCGTGCATGCAAAGCAGAAGTAACAAGATGTTTTTTAAATTAACCCTAGTCCTCTTCTCCACCCCACAAAATTCATGCAAGTGTTTGAGAAGATAGTCAAGACACAAAAGCCCCAGTTTCCAAAAAGGCTTGGGGTTTGGTGGGGTGTTCTTGTCATTTTGTTTTTTAAACATATCATAAATGTCCTTTTGTTTCCTTTCTGTGGGTAGCAAAATGCATTTTTCGGCATGTTTGAGAATCATAGATATCTATGAAGTCCATGCTGTTTCAATTCTCCAGCTAGTTTCTATAACCTGTCAAAAAACATAAGCAACCAATAGACGTTTCCCCCGTATTGACATGCACGCTCAGAGCTCTTCACTGTAGTGAAATGAGGTGTTACTTCTGTGCTGATAGTTGACGAGTCAGCATTACACGACTTTGAGACCAACTAAATTAACATTGTCGTAATATGAAAGGCAAGCACGAGTTCATTTATTTATAGCAAAGGTCTTGGGTTACAGGAGGTCAGTTCTTGCCATCTTGAAAAGATAGGGGATAACTTATTGCATACATGTGCATTATAATTTAGCAGCAAGTCATTCATAGAAACACTTCCCTCCTACTGCTTTTTTGGTTTATTATCTCAATTATATATATATTTTAGCTTTACAAAGCATTTAACACCACCTTTAAGTTAATGGTCTTTTATTGGAAAAAAAGACTAGCATTTACAACTTGGAATGGACATTAATTGTAGTATCTTGAACAGCAATGTTGATAGTTGTGCTGAAGTCCACAGGCTACTCCGCCAGCTCCAAGTCATGGTACAGAAGGTTTTAAAAATATGAGAGTCCAAAGATGCTCCCTTGGTGAAGGTTTCTTTTAAAAATTTTGTGAACGGTAACAGCCCGACACCCGTTTCACTATAGTGCAATGCAGACAATGTTAAACCAGTATTTTAACACAGATATGCCATCCACAGTTAAGATCACCGTATTTTTGGAGCACACTGCTACGTACAGGAGAACCATTCAACCTTTAGGGCATTTTCTCTAAGTTTTGCATCCTTCAACCATTTTGCTGCATACCATCCTGAGGTATAAACCAATTTTAAAGTAAACCAGCTATGACAATTTATACTACAAATTGAACTAGAATCCACTGTTGAACAAAAGAGTGGATCCTTTAGGTTGTTTTTTTTTTCCTTTTAATACAAATGTCTGACTGTGCTCAATTGTCAAGCTGCATGCATGAAAAACTGGCCAGCCCAAACAGTGTAATAGTCATTAGCAAATGGAACTTTTGAGTTCACTAAGTGCTTCCTTTTTTTTTTATTTTTCAAGGTAGTACAATTATTTATATTGTAAAACTGATGTTTATCTTTTGGGGACAGGACCACCAACCATTACATGCAGTTTGTGGACAGAAGGTATTTTGACATTCAGTTTTGCTATACAGAAACAGAATGAATAAATGAACATTTTTTTTTGCAAGAGGTAAGTAAAAGATTCAATTTGATTCTTCTAGAGGAAAAAAGGTGTAAAGGAGGTCTCTTCACTTTGCAGTCATCATCTGTACGAATTCTGAAAAGATAAAAAGTCACCAGGTATTATTGTCTCCAGGGTACTTCCAATTGGTAAGTCTCAAACATATGGCATAAAAAAGACCCCTCCACTTCATCTTTTTGTCCACAGAAGCAGACAATCAAATACACTGGTGTCTTAAGTACCAAAAATACCCTAAGCAACAGGTACAGATTCACTCAGAGCAACGTTTTTGAGTCAAGACAAACATTTTTACCTTCATAGTTGACTTGCCCATCCCCATCAATGTCTGCTTCTCTGATCATTTCATCTACTTCTTCATCTGTTAGCTTTTCTCCTAAGTTTGTCATAACATGACGTAGTTCTGCTGCACTGATATAACCATTGCCATCCTGTGAGTAAGAGTTGCACAAGATCATGATCAACAGTATGGAACTACATCTCAGTTTCCTGTAACTGCTGCACTAGCCTTACAGCACTTGGGACATACACAAAGACCTAGTACAATGTAAGTACTACAGTATGTACTAACCCAGAAAAAATCCAGAAGACCAATTTTCCAGCAGCAAGAATAAAGTCAGCTTCCTCTTTTGTGTAATGCTACCCCTACAGCCAGACTGCAGGTGGCTAGGTTAGGCTTTTTGGATAAGATGATAGAAAACTAATCTTCAAAGCAAGCATTTAAAGTCTACTCATAAGGAGTTGTGAAAAGCTTAATGCAAGGAAAAAAAAGCAAGAATGACACTTCCAAGTCAGTGGTCCATGAGTAATATCCAAACCTGGAGCTCAACCCTAAGCCATTTCAGAAATTGCCATCACCATATACAGGAAGGATACACTAGCTTAGGGCAGAGGTTCACAGGGCCATCACCAGTAGGCAAGTTACCTCAGTGGCTTTAAACACAGATCTAGTCTGCAGAAGTAACCCCACAGGGTAGATGAAGTACCAAACAAACAACTGGACATTTCCTCTAGCACATTTTCAGTCAAGTACTAGAGACTGACACTTCCTCATAGAAAGTAGTAGTAAGGCCTTCTTCCACACATGCATGTGCATTAGCTTAGCCATTACTCAACAATTCTCTTTAACATCTGTCATACCCAAGCAGGCCAAAGAGGGGAACCCTTGTTCTAAAAATAATGGACCCTCAATGTATGCACAGGTATCCTTAAAGACAGAAGTAATTGAGATTTTAAGTTTTCCTGAAAGCAACCTCAAAGTCCACATCACAGAAACAGAACAAGCAATATTTCATGTCCCTCTAAATACTGACAACATCATCTAGCTTCAGAAGTTTCCATAAAGAAAAATGGAATCATGCATCCATGCAAATATTTCCCCCCTCATTCCCCCAAGTCAGAAGGTACAGAACCATGCCCCCCAGCG